TCGAAAAGCAGCTCTGTTTGTTTTGCAGTGAGTACAAGTCATTTTTTTTAGCTTTATTTGTTTATTTTGATTCGTTTTGAAGAAGGATAAAATATGTTTTCGTGTAACGTACAATACCAACTGTTTTGATCTTTTAATGAGATTTTACAGCTTGTCGTAAGTCCACGGATTGTCAGTTAAGTCGTTATGTGAGGAGTGGTTGTATTACTTTCTTACCTTCGCAAAATCAAATTTAATAGAGTGGCGTTTTATTTCAACTGTCGCCCAGCTTTTTCCCTGTCCCCGAGAAAAAAAAATTAAATGTAAATTACTGAAGGCGGGTATCTAAAACTTTTTTAATATATCCCTCACCTGATATCTGCACCATATACATCCATCCCATTAAAAACTCTAGATTCACCGTTTCATGTTGCTAAACTTTAGGTTACACCTCCACTTTTTTGGCATAAATTTTCGATACCTAAGGTTTAAAATTAAATTTTAAAAAAGAAAAATCTTTCTTGAAAATTTCATTTTAGCTTTAATTGAAAGCTTAATAATTAAATTTATTATTTTCATTAAGTAAAATATTCTGGTGTATTTCAGATAGAAATTATATAGATTGGAATGTCAAATTTAATTTCGATTTCTTAAAATTTTCTTAATTTTAAGAAATTTGTAAACAAAAAAAAATTTTCTATTTTAAAATTCTTTCAAAAAATAGATATATATTTCTGACACGTTATTTTAGTAAAATTAGAAAATTTAAAGTTAAATTAATCTGATTCGAAATAAATATTACTTATAGCATAAAAAAAAATCATATACAACCAATTATTAACGATTGGAAACCAACAAAATAAATTAGCTGACGTGTCTTTTTTTTTTTTTTTTTTTAAATCAATTCACCTCAAGCAAGACGATAATGCCACTAAGACGTAAGAGGCTACTGGGTGTGAAAGAGAATGAGAAAACTTTAGAAGGAACCAGAAAACTTTAGAAGGAACCAGAAAACCAATCCTAAAAAGAAAACAAGAGCTAAACCTCTACTCTTGTTTAAAAGACCAGGGAGGATTGTGAACGGGACAATAGGGGAAAATTGTTTTCCGTGATGTTTACAACGAATCAATCCTTAATTGTTTTGAAGTTGTGACCAAAAAAAAAGTATCTACATATGGGTGTAGAAGGGGTGCGCTAGGGTCGTAGTCTGAAAACCGGGGGAGGGCTAGCAAGAAAATGTTTTGGAACCACTGCTCTAAGCAATGTTTGTCTCCTTACAATCCCTCGCAGTCCCTGTTCTTCTATCCATTTATTGACACAAACTCGTTAGGCAGGAGATTTGATATGACCCCTCCCCCCCCGCCTCTTGGATTAAATATATCCAAAGTATCACAATGGACTTTCTAAAAAGACAAAAAAAAAAAAAAATTAAAATATTTTAAATGCCTTCTTTTAACTTGAATTTCAGTTCTTTTTGAAAGGTAATGGTCTTGTCGAGGACCGGATGGTTTGCGTGTTGTTGAATTGGGAACACATGCAATTATTTCCTGCTAGAAGGTCCAACTACAAAGAAAATGGCGGACTCATTTAGTCCAACCGAAGATGAAAAGAAAACAAACAAAACCGATATATATATATATATATATATATATATATATATATATATATATATATAACAAATATATGTATTAAACAACACAATTTTACAATGGACAAAGACATTAACTTTTGTGTGTGTGTGTGAACATTTGTTTTTGTTCTTTGGTGAATGTTTATATGTATGTGTATATGTGTATAATGTTCGTGGCGTCTTTCCGCAAGTGGGAAACGCTGTCTTTTTGTGAGAGCTCACATTGTAGAGGTGTTCGCTGAAATGAAGAAATGAAAAAAGAGGACGAAGCAAGAAGTTGCCCAGTATTTATAGTGTAGGGAGAGAGACCCCTAGTGAATAATTAGGGAATTAAGGAGGAGCTAACTCCGACAGTCTAAAGTAGGGTTTCTCAACCTGATTGATATCGTCCATCGGTGGTCGATTTCAACTGTTGGATAAGCAATGAACAAACTGAACAGAAAATGGTGGGAGATTGGAAGTTTTGATGGGCGATATAGGGTTTTGAGTATTAAAAAGGTATTTGAAGTACTGACCTCAGGATAATTCTTATTATTGCTTCTTTTTATCAAATTGGCCATGTCGAATTTATCAAGTCCCTGTCAAACCATAATTTACCCATCACTGTATGCTTTTCAATATTTACTATACAGGTGGGCGGTAGAAAATTTTTCCATGTGAAAATGGGCGATGGCACAAAAAAGTTTGGGAACCCCTGTTCTAAAGCTAATCCGTATGAAAAGAAAAATTAATTTTCGTGTATAAACTTACGAGACATTTTTAAATCATTAGTACTTTTTTTCGTCACTCATCGACACATCGTGCCGCCATTGTATATGAAAAATACAAATAAATTTAAAATTCTATTTAAAATCCAATATTTGTCCTAGAAATGTGTTTCGAAATCTATTAGTAAATTTAAGGATTAATTAACTGGATTTTTTAAAAAGTAATGCTTACCTTTTTTGCCTAAAACAAAATGAAAATAATATTTTATTTACGCATGCTAGCCTGTGGGGTCAAAGGACAAAGCAAAAATACAGTCATTCTCCCACTGTCTGAAACAGTGCGGGAAAAAGTAAAGACAAAACCTAAAGATCAGCAGTGAGATAATCAATAATTTGTTATTTATGTTTAAAACTAAATTTTCTTTAACCTTATACAACCAAGAGTTTAAGCATATATTTTTTTTAAATTCTTTAGGCTTTTATTAAACTTAATATAATGAATAATTTTATTTTATATACTGAATGAGGCGGGGATATATTAGATTAATATCATAATACTCCTCTGATATTGAATAGTAATCAGTAAACGCGAGATATCAGAATTATTTCCTTTTTGTACACCCTTACCAAACATAGTCTAAACAGTTGCTAAAAGGAAAAGGAAACAACAAGGTGCCCATAAAAAATGACGAAATGTACTCAGTGAGATATAGAACCAAACAATTTTATTAAAATAAAATAAAAGCAAATTTTTCTAAATATTAGTTATGCACAAATTTGGTGGTTTGTGCGCTCGGAAAAGAGAGTAATAAATTCCTGGATGTGGGAAATATATTTCTAAAATAAGGTTCAATGGTAGTTGTGGAAAAAAGATCAAGTTTACAATCAAAAAACAAAATATCACAAGAAAAATGCCAGCATATGCAACACAACGCAAATTACAAGGTGGCAAATTACAAGGAAGAGGGTATAATGAAAAGTTTTCACTTAACCTCTAACCAAGTTAAAAGGGTATGTTCACCTTGAAGGTATAAAATGTGGATGTTCTTAATAGTTATTCTGAGCTGATATGAGTTGTCGAAGTTTGTGACAGAATCCGTTCGTGTCTTCACGCTTCAGTCCTCGACGTAAAAGCATTGTTTTTAGAACGGTTCTAGTTCTCTGTCGTGGAAACGACGATTTTGTTACAGAGTGAAATAAGACTTAATTCTGTCGTGAAAATGACAATATGGTTGTCAAGACATCCTTGAGGAGTGAGTTTTCGCGGCCGTTCGGTCAAGTTTTCAGATATTTTTTTAAACACCGCGTCTCCCACTCTTCTGGCGCCGCGTATACTAACCACCGGTGTCGCGTCTCCTACGGCTCGCGATGATCGTATTTCAAGTATTTTTATAGGCAAAGGTCGGCTCCGATTTACCTGACAAATTTTGGCGGTCAATACAAGTATTTCAGATTTCAACTCTTTCCTTGCTCTTTCCTGCAACTAACCCCCTCCACTCCTTGGTCAAGGAGCTTTGCACGCAGACTGGCATGGTTCAGGTTTCAGTAAATTATTTTATTAGCTTCATCCCTTCCACCAAACTACTGAGAGCCAAATTTTTAACAAGTATAATTATTTTACTGCAATAATAACTTCAGGGATTTCTTTTTATATATATATATATATATATATATATATATATATATATATATATATATAAGTAATTCATCGAGTCTGAAAGAAACCTCAACAGAATGCAGAAAGCACTGGACGGCCGTTTCGTCTTATATTTGGGACTCATCAGCAGTGCGCATCCACTATCGAAAAATTGAATTCTCCGTAGTGGATGCGCACTGCTGTTTCTTTCAGGCTCGTTCAATTACTTAAATATAATTATCAAATCCTCCTAATAATTTCTATCATATATATATATATATATATATATATATATATATATATATATATATATATGTAAAAAATTGGACGAACGCTCCCAAATTAAAAAAAGAATAAACGCAATATTGAAAGGGGGGGATAAACACACGTCCCAATATTTCCCCAAGGTTTTTTAAAATAAAATATTGAGTTAAATATTTATTCATTAATGAATAAGTCCTAAAAATTTCGTTTGAATTGAATAATTCCATGATTTTTGGCAAATATTTTAATAAAGCGGTGGTGAGCGATTTTTTACATTTATTGTGGAAAAAAGTATCCATTTTGGTGGTACATTATACTATAAAATTAAATAAATAAAAAATAAATTACCGTTAACACAAAAATTGCTAATTTAGGTTTTCTCGTGTATATATATATTTTTTTTATTTTGTATTTAAAAATGCATTAATTACATTTTTAGGACAACACGTCGTGTTGTTCATAAACTGGTCCAATCAAACCTCACTGAGAACTCTATAATTGTGGCCTTCTGCCGAAAATTAAGCCAAGGATACCAAATAAAACAATAATAGTAAATATTTACATAGTCGAAGTAGCAAGCGTAAAATAAAAACTAGACGGTAGGTTCAAAATTTGGATTTTTATTAACTTTTTTATTTTTTAACTAAGTGGATCTTAAAAATTTTAAATTTTAAGTTACAAAATTAAATTCGTTGATAAAACTATCAAGATTAATATAGCCTTAAATAAACAAATACAAATAAATACAAAATATATAACAAAAACTGTAAAACAGGATACTTACTTTCCGGCTACAATTCCGAACCGAATCCAAATCACTAAGGTCCAATTGTACGACGGACACAAGACTGGGATCAACTGCAGTCTTTTGACGAATTTCTTCAGCAATTGGCTCGGCCGTTTCCTTATCTATGCAAGCCATAATCACTTTGGCCCCTAAAGAGACCAAACCTATGGTTGTCTCCTTGCCGATTCCAGAATCGGCTCCAGTAATAAGAACTGTCTTACCATCCATTCTTACTGGACATTGGTAACTTAAGGGTCGAGTATGTCTATTATGACGAAAAGACAATTTTATTTTTAATAGAAGCAGTCCAACCACAGTTACTATGCTAAAGAAAATTATTATATAAAAGAACATATTCGAAGGTTAAGCTTCTTATTTCTAACCCTAAAAACGAAATAGTTGTGTACTGAGCTCTCAACACTAGGAAATTGGTAATCGAGACAAGTTCGTTGGCGATCGCGACACTTGAGAAAATATAAAAAAGTAAAACTGATTCTTATGCACGAAGTTTTATTTCGTAGCACACATGTCCACTCGAGTGGGTAACTCATAAGAAGAGAGGAGGAGATTAAGCTTGAAGTTTTTGGTGCGTGTATTATTTCCATTGACATTTTTAAAGTATAAAGTTTCAGTCTAGTGAGAAAAAGCAAAACGTTTAAATTAACAGTAACACTTTCTTTCATTCTTTCTTTCATTCTTTCTTTCTTTCTTTTCAGTAACTCCACAGATTCGCAAAAAAATAAGCATACTTGATGAAAAAAAATGACCTAAACTTAAATAAAATTTTAGCGTCAAACAAAATCTTTATGTTATTATTAGGAAAGACCAAAGGATTTTTTAATTATTAAAAACTATTTTTTTTTTATCCTTTTTAGAATGTTCAAAATTTTGGTTAAAAATTTTGTTTTTCTTGTGTCAGCGGGGAACCAAAGATTTAGTATCGGACATTTTTTAGCGTCTTCTTTACGGTGAAAAACACGTTGATTTGGAAATTCTTGTAAAAATCAAATAATTGTCGAATCTTAATGAAACTTTCAGAACGTATTTACAAATGAATAAAATGTTTATTTTCTTTTTTTCTTTTAGAAAATCTTGGTAAAAACAATTTTTCTTTTTGATTTGTGACCCCCACTTATTTAATTTTATGAAATTTTGAGAAATTAATTTTTATGTTGCTAAATATTTATTAGTTTGTAATGATCATCATCACGCACACACATACATACTTACAGAAATTCAAATTATACAACAAGCATTCAATGGATAATAAATCAACACAAATGGACAACTTATAAATCGCAGCTATGCGACAATTTTATAATCGCTATATTTTCATGTAGTCGATTTTGTGCACTTTTGGGAGAACCGGATCCCAAGAACCTTCTCAGCTTAGTAAATATTTTTCAGGAAATATCAGCTTCTAATTGGTCAATAAACACACAAGTGAGCGTTGCAATCCACCCACGCACAATATATTTTTTCCAGCGCGTGACTAAGTCAAGTTTCCCACCAAGGTACTGTGATCCTGTCACGTGGTCACATTATATATAAATAGCAAACACGAGTTTTCCTCTTTCTCTTTTTTCTCTCTTCTTCCTTCGAAGATGTGACCTTTAAAAATTATCGTCTCGAATATGCGGTCAGACGTTAAATAATATTTCATGCATTCACGTACGTACGAACTCTTACAAACTTTTCCAACCTTCTCACTCACACCACCACGCACATGCTGAATATTCCCTATACTCACATAATATTTTTTCTTTACACAGCAAAACTGCTGAAAACAATTATTACTAGAAACTATCACAAACTTTCTTTCCTTGAACTTTGGAACACAAATAATAGTTAAAGAGAGACAACTCTTGTTTTACTCAATGCATGTTTTTCTTTCACATCCTTGTTTGTACATCTTGTTAAATACAAATTTATTTGTAATGATGTCTTTGACCTATCCTCTTTTTCTTCACGTCAGTTTGGTTTCCTAATCTAAGTTAAATTAATGTGGTGAAGTCCGTCACAAGTTATAAGCAGAAGTCCTTGGAGAATTTAAATCATTCATTTTTATGTAAAACAGGAACGCATACACCAAAAATCAACTCTGAATCGTAAAATAAAAATTGCAATGAAACTAAAACTTTATTTAATTAGAAATTTTTTTAATTGCTTTTATGAATAAGATATATTATGGACATTATTGTCTTAAGAAAAAAAATTTGATCACTGATGAATTTTTACAAGAATTGTTTTCTTTTTTTTTTTAAGTAGTATAAATTATAAAGTTTTAAATATTTCACAATTCTGTATTAATTTTTACAGGTTAGGTGATATTGTTATTAAGTAAAAACTATATTTACTCATTAAAAATGGAAAAGTTTACTGTAATTCAATAAAACAATAGATTAGAGAGAATATTTTCCTAAACGTTTAAGATTACTGTGTGGTTAAATTTATATATATATATATAAAAGCTCACGTTATAATCTTCAAGTAATGTTAACAGATATGTCCCCCCGCCGAAAAAATTAGATAAATTATCAACTTGTCAATAGCTACCTACATATTAGAAATATAGAAAAACACCTACCAGCGTGTTAAAAACTTGCACTTCTGTGATATTTTAAACTAAAAGTAATATTTGTTTCAAATCAAATTAATTAAACTTTAAATCAGCTAATATTCCTCAAATAAAGTTTCTGAAAAGTATATTTTATCTTTTAAAGATTTTTATTAAAGAGAATTACATTATTCTGACAGATAGTTAAAAATGACGATCAAAATCAGCGTTATTTTTTTTTAGCGATTTCAAAAAATAAAAAACTCCTTCCAGTTATTTTAAATTAGTTTTTGAAATTAAAAATGTGTTTTGTTTAGTGGAAATATTGAATTCAATCTATTATCTTGAAATTAAAACTAAAATAAAAACTTTAAGAAAGATTTTTCATTTTTAAGAATTAATTTTAAACCTTAGGTATTACGTTTCTTTGGAGGTACTTATGTCTTTATTTATTTTTAGAAATTCCAATGAAAGATAAAAGTGGTTATAATTATAAAATACATAACAGGGTCAACTGTGAAGTAAACCATCAGCGATCACGTTTTGCAGTAAAGAAAGTTTCTGTTCATGTGTGTAAGTAAACTTGGATATGTATGTACGTATGTACGTATGTAAGGTCTCAGCTGTTCCAACTTATGCTTGAAGTATTCGATTTCTATTTAAGGGGAAAACAACATTTTTAATATTAATTCGATACTTGTCACTTCGCTGACAGCAATATAATCAAAATGTTAGAAAAATGTATTTGAAATACTATATTTACTAGAAATACTACATTTATTAGAAAATATATTCGATTTAAATACAAAACGAACCACAAAAATTACTTCAAAGGGCCGCACGTCTTAGCTTATAGCTTTCAGCTAACCAGGTGTTTTTGCCAGACAAAAACGGAAAATAGTCCTCGTGAAACAGATGTCCATTTCACTTGTATACACTTTTGAATGCACGTATGTCATAATTCGAGGACACGCCTAAAAATATTTCTATAAAATTTAAAAGAAAAAAAAAAAAAACATTTAAAATAATTCTATTCATTGAAAAAATAATTTCCGAAAAGTGCAAAGAAATCATATAATTAACTGATTTTTTTGTGTTTAAAAAATTTCATTTCATTTCCTTGTCTCCAACTTCATGCTTTAATCGTTCAGCTCAGGCCAAGGGCTGTTCTGACTGAAAGGGCGATGAACGTCTTATTCCAATATTCTATTTCAAACTGTCAAATTGTGCGTGCATATGTGTGCTCGTGTGTTCGTGTGTACATTAAATGGCGTAAATACACATAGGGCCGGCGCGTACTACCCTCGAACCCCATCTGACCGAGGTGGGCAAACTAGATTAGGAGCTGCTTTGACCCTTGCTATCTTATTAACATTTGCTTTTTTTCTACCTACATTTATATAAGTTACAAATTTAAACTAAGTACAAATGACTATCATAAGATTTTCGCGGATTTTGACGTCTTTTTCTTCGTCAAAATACTTGAATTTGTTTTGCTCATTCTAAGTCACGAAAAACATAAAATTCACTATTTTTTATCCACAATCTTGAACGTGTTAAAATTATTCAACTTCATAACAAGAAAAATCTTAAGTTGATGTTAAAAATTGCCGCAAAGCATTGAAGATGGAATGATCTATTATGATATGTCTTAAATTTGTATTTAGATACATTGTATATATTTTCAATTTTTCTAGTTGAATTGTTCACCTATGTTGCATATGATCCATTATTATACATAATTAGGTTACTATAAAATGTGAGAAATTCTGCAATTTAAGCTCCTATTGGCTGATTTGTAACGACCAATTTCATTGGTCGAATTTTGACTTGTTTTTTTCGCAGGCATTTTGAACGGCCCGTGCCCTTTTGAGTTCAGTTGCGGCAAATTATTGGAAATGTCCGGACTCATTTTTTAATCTCTTTGCAGGGCCTTTAGCGCCCAAGATCAAGCCTAAATAATTAGGCAATGATTCTTCTTCAGCAACCAAAATGGTAATGCTTCAGAGACTACGTCATGTCCCAGCTTCTTAATACTTTCAAGGCTGTATAATTCAGTCATTTATTGACTGTCGTCAAATGTGTACGTTCTACACGAAGAACTCTATGCATGATCTCGACAATAGCCGAGTTTCAACTTCAGCAACCGAAATGGTAATGCTCCAGCAACGACCAGCAAATTCCAGCTTCTCCAACTTCGTAGAGACCAATTGAGTCCTATTGAAGTAAAAAGACTACCTATTCTTTGAAGAACTACCCCACCCTGTTCCCAGGGGAAAAAAGGGCAAAATCTTTTTTGCAATGATACAATAAAATTTGTTTTAAGTTTTAAGGTAGACCTTGTTGATTGTATGTCTCTCTTGTCTCTGCCAAGGGTTGAACTGTGTGAGAAATTCTCACAAAAATTTGTATTTTATATGATTACTACCTATGAAAAATTAGATGTAATAGAGTTGGAAGTCTGTATCATAGATTCAATGTGGGACACAAGATCCTTGCACCGGTCCTGTACACATATACATTACATAAGCGCATACAAAAATCATACGCATACAATATATGATGAACAGAGAATCAG